TTAAACCGAATAAAGGAGTAGATAGGGGCACTGGGTGAATTTGACTGCCAGCCTGTCGACTTTTGGTAGGGCACGGGAAAGGGTGGTTGAGGCCACGTCCTGACTCAACTTTACTCTGCACTCGCAAAATTTCAGCTTCAGTACCTTTAATGACGAGATAGGCGATGGCGAGGAGGAAGGCCAAAAGAATAACGAAGAGCAGCGAACAAAGAATGGAGAGGACCTGGACTGGCCACCGCCGACCTTGGACTCGGATGCCGGTAGGCGCCGGGAAGATACCATTGCGCTTATCAGGCAGCAACGGCGACCCATCCCCAACCGGAGGGAGTAGAGAGCCGCTTCTGGGGTCTGACACTGCCCCCGCCGAGAACTCTGCCCGCAAGTCTCGGGCCACTTGGTCGGATCCCACTTCCTCCTCGACTTCGCCTTCACCCCAACAGTCCCCCTGAGCGAAAGCGAAATACACAGTCCGAGCGAAAGGGCCCGGGGTGCCGAGGCGGCGGCCCTGCGGAGGCAGGCACCTCCCGGTCTCCACAAACGACATGGCGGGAAAACAGAGCGCGATCCCCGGAGACCCAGCGTCTACTATCTGCCCCGCCCCGCGCCTGCAACAGCCAATCAGCGGCCGGCCGCAGCCGCGGCCTCTACCACAAGGCACCTGCGCGTAGGGGTAGGCAAAGATAAGCCGTACGGTCGTAAGGAAGCCGGGAGACCCCGGAGAAGCTGGATGTCCCAGGGTCAGAGCTGGATCCCAAGGCCGTAGGCTAAAAAAAGATCAGAAAACATAGGCAGGGATAAGCTGAGGTAGTCAAGTCTTCCCCCTGCACTGCTTCCTCCCAGCCAGAGACCTACGCCAACGCCGCGTCACCTCCAGGCAAGCGCGCGCCTCGGCTGCCCCAAAGCTGTAGCTTATTGACGCTGGGTCCTAACGCCCGCCCATGTTCTTGCGACACACATTTCCAAACTTACTTGCTTTCTCTCTTCTACCACTCTGTCCTCGTGCTCTTTCCCAGCTTCCTCTATTAACAGCAGTGCACTGCCTGGCGCTTTCGCTTTCCTATAACTGTCTATCCATTTCTCCCTTTAGTGTGATTTTCCCCGCCCATACCACAATTTCCTTCCACGCAGTTCGGCACGCCTCCTTCCCCCTTAGCCCCGGCTCCCGCTCTCCACCCGGTGCGTACGGAGCTCGAACTCTCATCTCTGAACCCTTCCTCTTGCCTTCCCCGCCCCCTCCCCTCCGCCTCGAGCACCGCGCGCGCGCTTCCAGCCCTAGCCACCGCTAACGCTAGGACCTGCTTTCCCCGCCCCCACCCCACCCTACCCCACCCGGGCGGCCTCAGGTTTGTGGGGCGTACGTAAGGGGGGGTGAAGGTGCCAGGTCCCCACTGCCCCACCCCCTACGGGGTGAGGCGGGCTGAGCTCAGGAAGCTGGGACGCAGT